TCCTGAGATAACTTCTGTTATGAATTGGCACTATACAATAGAAATTGAATTGAATTGAATTGAATTGAATTTCATAAAGGACGTAATCTTATAAAGGAGTATGGTCTACACCTGCTGTTTGTAAACTGTCCTGAGATAATTATTTGGTACTATACACATAAAACTGAATTGAATTAAAATAACTGAACCTGCACCCACAACACATCTACATCTGTCTGAGCGTGCTTGAGTCTTAAAGTATTTTGACAGCTTGGACAAAAAAGTTTGCAATTCTAAAACCACCACCAGTGAGTGTCATTAGGTGATAAAACAACTTTGTGGCCTAGTTAGGAGAGGTCAGGCTCTTGCCCTGATGGCTTCAGCTGGAGAATGCGCTATTTTAAAAGACGGAAGTAACTTGAGACAGTGGGAAGACTTTTGGCTGGCCAAACATAACTCAAAGCAGCTATCTTGCTATGTGGATGAGGCCATGTTCACAGTGGTAGACTGAACACCCTGGACTAGCCTCTGGAAAAAAAGAAAAAAAAAGGACTGCTGTTTTCTAGAAGTTTCTTAAATCATTTACAGATCTGTCAAATTAAAAGCAGGGCCCATCTGGGACACTTACTTTACATCTAGTGAAAATCTTACATTGAATTAATTCATTGAGTGAGTCCATTCCAAATACCAAGGAGAAACACAAGTGTTTTATTTGTAAATGGTAAATGGACTGTACTTGTATTGCGCCTGTTTAGTCTTCCGACAAATCAAAAGGCTTTTACACTACATGCCACATTCACCCTTTCACACACACATACACTGAATGGCAAATGCCATTGTAAACAGAAAATAATAATCATCCACATTCACATTTTGCTCAAGGACACTTCGCCATGAAGCAGGAGGAACCAGGGGGCCACCGTTAGTGGACAACCTGCTCTACCTCCTGAGCTACAGTCCCTTCTGGGCTACTTTAGAAACATAGCGGTTCAACATGGTGGACACAATGGAAGGCAACCCGTGACATTAAAGCCTTGTTCTAAGGTAACAAAAACATAGTTGTTGTTATGCAAGCTTATGGTTGACACCTCCATCCGATTTCGGAACAAATCTGAAACAACATCTTCAGCATCTTTCGATCTTCCTTGCATCTGATAGGTTGTTTTCATTGAGGCCTGGTGGATTCTTGCAAAAGCCATTAGGAGCACTAGGAGGAGCCCCATATTATCCCAGCAGGGGCTAGCTCAAATAGT